TCTGAATCTGTTCCATCTCACTCCCTCCTACATCAGCGTGTGTGGACTAATCTCCATCTGTTCCATCTCGCTCCCTTTTACAGCGGAGTGTGTGGACTAATGTCCATCTATTCCATCTCACGCCCTCCTACAGAAACCTGTGTGGACTAATCTCCATCTGTTCCATCTCACTCCCTTCTACAGCGGAGTCTGTGGACTAATCTCCATCTGTTCCATCTCACTCCCTCCTACAGGAGAGTATGTGGACTGATCTCCATCTGTTCCATCTCACTCCCTCCTACAGGAGAGTATGTGGACTGATCTCCATCTGTTCCATCTCACTCCCTCCTACAGAAGAGTATGTGGACTGATCTCCATCTGTTCCATCTCACTCCCTCCTACAGGAGAGTATGTGGACTAATCTCCATCTGTTCCATCTCACTCCCTCCTACAGGAGAGTATGTGGACTGATCTCCATCTGTTCCATCTCACTCCCTCCTACGGGAGAGTGTGTGGACTAATCTCCATCTGTTCCATTTCACTGCCTCCTACAGCAGCAGAGTGTGTGGACTAATCTCCATCTGTTACATCTCACTCCCTCCTACAGGAGAGTATGTGGACTGATCTCCATCTGTTCCATCTCACTCCCTCCTACATGAGAGTGTGTGGACTAATCTCCATCTGTTCCATCTCACTGCCTCCTACAGCAGAGTGTGTGGACTAATCTCCATCTGTTCCATCTAACTCACTTCCTACAGGAGAGTATGTGGACTGATCTCCATCTGTTCCATCTCACTCCCTCCTACAGGAGAGTATGTGGACTGATCTCCATCTGGTCCATCTCACTCCCTCCTACAGGAAAGTGTGTGGACTAATCTCCATCTGTTCCATTTCACTCCCTCCTACAGCAGCGTGTGTGTACTAATCTCCATCTGTTCCATCTCACTCCCTACTACAGCAGCAGAGTGTGTGGACTAATCTCCATCTGTTCCATCTCACTGCCTCCTACAGCAGAGTGTGTGGACTAATCTCCATCTGTTCCATCCCACTGCCTCCTACAGCAGAGTGTGTGGACTAATCTCCATCTGTTCCATCTCACTCCTTGCTACAGCAGCAGAGTGTGTGGACTAATCTGAATCTGTTCCATCTCACTCCCTACTACATCAGCGTGTGTGGACTAATCTCCATCTGTTCCATCTCGCTCCCTTTTACAGCGGAGTGTGTGGACTAATGTCCATCTATTCCATCTCGCTTCCTCCTACAGCAGAGTGTGTGGACTAATCTCCATCTGTTCCATCCCACTGCCTCCTACAGCAGAGTGTGTGGACTAATCTCCATCTGTTCCATCTCACTCCTTGCTACAGCAGCAGAGTGTGTGGACTAATCTGAATCTGTTCCATCTCACTCCCTCCTACATCAGCGTGTGTGGACTAATCTCCATCTGTTCCATCTCGCTCCCTTTTACAGCGGAGTGTGTGGACTAATGTCCATCTATTCCATCTCACGCCCTCCTACAGAAACCTGTGTGGACTAATCTCCATCTGTTCCATCTCACTCCCTTCTACAGCGGAGTCTGTGGACTAATCTCCATCTGTTCCATCTCACTCCCTCCTACAGGAGAGTATGTGGACTGATCTCCATCTGTTCCATCTCACTCCCTCCTACAGGAGAGTATGTGGACTGATCTCCATCTGTTCCATCTCACTCCCTCCTACAGAAGAGTATGTGGACTGATCTCCATCTGTTCCATCTCACTCCCTCCTACAGGAGAGTATGTGGACTAATCTCCATCTGTTCCATCTCACTCCCTCCTACAGGAGAGTATGTGGACTGATCTCCATCTGTTCCATCTCACTCCCTCCTACGGGAGAGTGTGTGGACTAATCTCCATCTGTTCCATTTCACTGCCTCCTACAGCAGCAGAGTGTGTGGACTAATCTCCATCTGTTACATCTCACTCCCTCCTACAGGAGAGTATGTGGACTGATCTCCATCTGTTCCATCTCACTCCCTCCTACATGAGAGTGTGTGGACTAATCTCCATCTGTTCCATCTCACTGCCTCCTACAGCAGAGTGTGTGGACTAATCTCCATCTGTTCCATCTAACTCACTTCCTACAGGAGAGTATGTGGACTGATCTCCATCTGTTCCATCTCACTCCCTCCTACAGGAGAGTATGTGGACTGATCTCCATCTGGTCCATCTCACTCCCTCCTACAGGAAAGTGTGTGGACTAATCTCCATCTGTTCCATTTCACTCCCTCCTACAGCAGCGTGTGTGTACTAATCTCCATCTGTTCCATCTCACTCCCTACTACAGCAGCAGAGTGTGTGGACTAATCTCCATCTGTTCCATCTCACTGCCTCCTACAGCAGAGTGTGTGGACTAATCTCCATCTGTTCCATCCCACTGCCTCCTACAGCAGAGTGTGTGGACTAATCTCCATCTGTTCCATCTCACTCCTTGCTACAGCAGCAGAGTGTGTGGACTAATCTGAATCTGTTCCATCTCACTCCCTACTACATCAGCGTGTGTGGACTAATCTCCATCTGTTCCATCTCGCTCCCTTTTACAGCGGAGTGTGTGGACTAATGTCCATCTATTCCATCTCGCTTCCTCCTAAAGCGGAGTGTGTGGACTAATCTCCATCTGTTCCATCTCACTGCCTCCTACAGCAGAGTGTGTGGACTAATCTCCATCTGTTCCATCTCACGCCCTCCTACAGAAACATGTGTGGACTAATCTCCATCTGTTCCATCTCACTCCCTTCTACAGTGGAGTCTGTGGACTAATCTCCATCTGTTCCATCTCACTCCCTCCTACAGGAGAGTATGTGGACTGATCTCCATCTGTTCCATCTCACTCCCTCCTACAGGAGAGTATGTGGACTGATCTCCATCTGTTCCATCTCACTCCCTCCTACAGGAAAATGTGTGGACTAATCTCCATCTGTTCCATCTCACTCCCTCCTACAGGAGAGTGTGCCTTCAACACGAACATCACCAACCACCATGGCCCCTGTGTGAGCGGTGATGTCCCATCGCGGCTCACGTCCCAGCCCACTGGGTGGCAGAGGCTGCTGCACCCACTCAGGCGCACAAAGACAAAGATTTCCCCGTGTAGCCTTGACAGGATGTTGAGGCAAGTGCTGTTGGAGAGAACCGCTTTTGAAGGCCGGAACGCAACGGCTCACGAGGGGGCGGGTGGGTTGGTGGCAAACACCACGCTGATGATTGACGCACCTGGGTCCTCATTAAAGGCCGGATCACCTTGGGGAGGCAACAGGACCGCTTCAAATATTCGCCACTTATGTTGGCCGTGAGCATTTCACCGGGGTTGTCACGACATCCACAACAGAGCGCACACAACAACAACCGCCATTCGCCACTAAGTGACGGTGACGTCACCACGACGCTTGTGCCAGGTTATGTGCACCTTGAGGCCACGTGAAGTATCGAACGCCCCCTGCAGGAGGTCACGGGGCAGACCTAGCAGGTGCCACAGGTCGACTGACTGAGATGACTGAGATGACTGGCTGATGCACCACCTGTGTCCCCTACTGTACCAACTTGCTGTGCTTTAGCCACCAGGTGCTCCGCTCATTGTTGTTAGCATCGCTCCTCTGTCCTCCGTTTTTGTTGGAGGGCGACTGCCTCCAACTGCCCAGTAGCGTCCTTCACGAGCCTCCTCCACAGAGGCCGATCTTGACACCGCTGGTACCAGTCATCGGCAAGTCCACTCAGCTCCACATCCTCCTATACCACATCACTCAATCTCTTCTCTAGCCCGTGCCGCGCCTGTTTAGCCCCCTCGATCTGGCCGAACAAAAGCTGTTTAGGCATGCGGTGGCTGAGCATGCGGGCTGCATGACCCAGCCAACGCAGCCTTGCCTGCCGGAGGAGCTCACACCATGGGACTTTGTCCAGATATTTCAAGGATGGATCGTAGGTAGGCCAGCTTAAACGTTTCTAACCGGCGAAGATGTTCCATTAGGGGAGTCCACACACACACACAAAGGTAGCCTGAACAGACTGTAGGGGCAAGTGCTGTTAGCGAGCAAGTATAAAACATGGCACAGCACACGAGGGGGTGGGTGGCCAGCACCACGCCCCAGGTACTCTTTTGAGGCTGAGTAGACCTAGGGGAGGCTCAGGACCGGTTTAAACAATTGCCACTTTTTTGTCGTGAGTGGGAATCGAACTCGGGTTGCTGGCTTTGTAGCGCAGTGCCTAACTATATTACCGCTCCATCACCCTGACACACACCCTGACACACACACCTTCACACTCACCCTCTCACACACACTCACACACCCTCACACACACCTCCCAGACACCTCCTCACACACACACCCTCACACACCCTCACACCCACAAACACACGTATACCCACACACACCCTCACACACATCCTCTCACACACACACACACACCCCCACACACACACCTTCACACCCTCACACACCCTCACACCCACAAACACACGTATACCCACACACACCCTCACACACATCCTCTCACACACACACACCCCCACACACACACCCTCACACAAACCCCCACAAACCCTCACACACACCCACACACACACCCTAACAAACCCTCACACACCCCCCCAACACACACCCTCACACACACATACTCACACACCTTCACACACACACCCTCACACACCCTCACACCCCCCCCCACACACACCCTCACACACACATACTCACACACCTTCACACACCCACAGACCCCCCACACACACACCCTCACTCACACATACTCGCACACCTTCACACACACACACCCTCACACACCCTCACACACAACCCCCCCACACACACTCTCACACACACATACTCACACACCTTCACACACCCCCCCACCCCCCCCACACACACCCTCACTCAGGATCTGCTGGCTTGGAATGGCTCCGCCTCCGCTCCCCATGCGAGACGCCGCTCCCATCCCAAGTTTCTCTCCGCTCGGCTTGGGAGAGCGGAGAGAGAGAGAGGGGGGAGAGAGGAGAGAGTGGAGAGAGAGGAGAGAGAGCGGAGAGAGAGGGGAGAGAGAGGGGAGAGAGAGGCTTCTGCTGCTGCTGCTGCTGCAGAGACAGTATCGTCCCTCTCCGCGTCTCCGACTCGCTGAGGAAGGGGGACAGGGAACCCTCGCTCCCAACTCCTCGTCATCCTGAGACAGGAGGTAGGGTTACTCCTCATCCCCCTCATCATCTCCCCTCATCATCTCCTCTTCCCCCTCCTCATCTCCTCTTTCCCCTCATCCCTCATCACCTCCCCTCATCATCTCCTCCCACCTCATCTGCTGCACGTCATCGTCCCTTAACCTCAATGTCTTTCATTGACCTCACGTGAAGCACCTCAATTCTCATCTTCTTTTACCTCCTCTGGTCGACCCCCCCCCTCGCCTCCGAACCCGCAAACTCCGTCACCGCGGGCTCCTGCCGTGTTGATGCCCGCGGTGCACGGGAGATTGAAACTTCTCCCGGCCTGCTAACGACATCGATAGCAGGAGCAGAAGCATCATCGCCACAACGACCACCACCACAACCCCCACAACCACCTCCTGCTGCTGCACCAACACATTCACTGTCATCATCACGGACTTCTTCAACATCACAATCATCATCACAATCATCATCACAATCATCATCACGAGTGCCAGAAGCAATAGCAAAAAAACAATCACAAACCACCAGCACCATCACCACCATCACATTCACCATCAGCAGTACCACCACAACCATCAGATCCACCACCACTATAGAAACCATCACCACCATCATCACCACCATCACCACCATGATATCCACCATCACTATCACCACCATCACCTCCACCATCACAACAATCATCACCACCACCATCACCACCACCATCACCACCATCACCACCATCACCACCACCATCATCACCACCACCATCACCACCATCACCACGACCACCACCATCACCACCACCATCACACGACCACCACCACCCCGCGCCCGCAACCTCCTATTAGCGGACTGTGGAGCGGAGGCCGGCCTTGGATTGAACTTGAGCACGATGACTGCGTGGACTCACTGCGCACAGAGACGCCACAAGGGCACCGTGAAGACGATGATGAAGGCGATGATGAAGGCGATGATGATGGTGGTGGTGGCAATGATAGATGATGTTGATGGTGGTGGTGGTGGCAATGATAGATGATGTTGATGGTGGTGGTGTTAATGGTGATAGACGTGGTGGTGGTGATGGTAGCAATAGAGATGATGGTAGTGACAGCGGTGTTGGTGAAGGTGAAGGTAGAGATGATGATGATTCTCAGGAGAGGGTGATGTGGGTGCGAGAAAGATGATGGGGAGTATGATGGTGACGATGCCATATAAATGATGGAGATGCCGGAGGTGATGATTCTAAAGAGTTATGAAATGGTGATGGAGATGGGCGAGATGATGGTAATGATGGAGCTGATAATGATGGAGCTGATGATGGTGGTAATGATGATGCAGCTGATTATGATAGTTGTAATGATGATGATGGTGCTGATGATGATGGACCTGACGATGATGATGTTGATGGCAATGATGATGATAAAGCTGATGATGATAGTGGTAATTATGGTAATGAGCTGATGATGATGAAGGAGCTGTTGATGTCAATGATGATGATGGAGCTGATGGTGATACTGGGAATGTTGGTAATCATTAATCTTATGATGATGGAGCTGAGGATGATAGTGGTAATGATGGATCTGATGATGATGATGGAGCTGATGATGAGGACGGAGCTGATGATGGAAACAATGTCGAACGCATCGACAAAACACAAACGCATGCACGTGGCTCCCCGTCTCAGCCAACCAATAGAAGAAATCCTGGGCAGCCCCCCAAACCCCATCCAACGCAGCGAGACTCTGGGACCCCTCACTCCAAGGACACTCAAGAGGAACGGACGCGGCTTTCTAGACGAGGGAACTTCCGCGGATTTCTGCTGACCCCGCAGAACGAGACGTGAGCTCAGCGGAGCTGGAAAGAATGCGGTCCCAAGTGGCTGCGCGGATTCACTTTCCTTGCAAGGGGGGAGTTGGTTAGGCGGGGGAGAGGAGGGCTTCTTCGATATTTTACCATGGGTTTACCATGACCACCAGGAATTTACCATGGTTACCTTGTGCTCCCGTGCTCTTGGCCATGGGTTTTCCACGCAATGTATTTTTTTTAGAATGGATTTACCACCAACCCTATGACTTTACCATGAGTGACCGAGATTGACCATGGTTTTAACATGCACTCTCGTAATTCACCATGGTTGCCATGGGCTCCAAGGCTTAACCATGGATTTAACCATGAGCTCCCCGACTTTACCATTGTGCTCCACAAGGTTATGTGCCTTTTCCATGGACTGCGTGGTTTGACCACGGGCTCTTACCCTGTGCCCCGTATCCCCTTTGGCTCCTTCAACCACCTTCTCACTGCGCCACCGTCCACGGTAACTTTTGGTGTGGGCCACGGTGGCTAGGAGATGTTAACTACCTTGCCTGGCATGCAGGAGATCGTCCGTTCGATTCCAGCCCTGACGAAGCCTGCTGTATATTAGGAGTTTGCGTCTCTCTCTCTCTCCTCATCATCACGGTGTGTAGGAGATGTTAACTACCACGCCTGTTATACAAGAGGTCGTGGGCTCGATCCCGACCCTGACGACAGCTGCTGTATATTTAAAGTTTGTGTCTCCCTCTCTCTTTCATCGTCAGCACGGTGGTAAGTAGATATTAAATACTTCGTCTGGTCTGCAGGAGGTCGTAGGTTGAGATCCCGCCCCTTACGCCTGCTGTATATTTGGAGTTTATGTGTCTCTCTCATCATTATCACGGTGGCTAGAATATATTAACTACTTCGTCTGGTGTGCAGGAGGTCGTGGTTTTGATCCCGACTCGCTTATGCCTGCTGTATATTTAAAGGTTGCGTGTCCCTCTCTCATCATCATCACGGTGGATTGGAGATGTTAACTAACTTGCCTGGGATGCAGTAGGTCGTGGGTTCGATCCCAGACCTGACGATGCCTGCTGTATACTTTGGGTTTGCGTGTCTATCCCTCTCATAATCATCATCACGGTGGATAGGAGATGTTAACTACCTCACCTGGTATGCAGGAGGTCGTGCGTTAGATTCCGGCCCTGACGATGCTGTATATTTTGAGTTTGCGTGTCCCTCTCTCTCATCATCATCATCACGGTGCCTAGGAGATGTTAACTACCTGGCTTGGTATACAGGAGGTCGTGGGTTCGATCCCGACCCCGACGATGCCTGCTGTATATTTTGAGTTTGCGTCTCTCTCTTTTTTACAGAGGAAACAAGAAGATGCTCGGTGTCGTCGCCACTTTGCTTCGTTCATCATTTAGTTTTTTATGCTTTGCTTTATGTAAATCCGCCCCCCTTTTTAAATGAAAGATTTCACAATAGATTTCACGCTCTGCTCTCATTACCCCTTCCCTATCTCTCTACCCCCCCCCCCCCTCTCTCTACCCCCTCTCTCCCTACTCTATGTCTATGTTCCCCCTATGTTTTCTATGTAATATTTGTAATATTAATATTTTATGTATATATATATATTTTAGAAGTTCTGCATCTGCACCCAGCCCTTCTCGCAGTCCTACGGCCTCCGACGGGTAGCTCATATCTGCATGCAGAGCTGTTCTGCCACCGAGCACATGGCCTCCTCCAGCGCAAACTGCTCCTTGAAGGTCGGCACTGCGTGGGTCAGCCGCGCATGGCGGAACTCCAGCCACACCCTGGCTCCGACCAGAGCGCGGACGATGCCCAGGCTGCTGGCCGGACATTTCCCCTCCACAGCCACCTTCCTCGCCCTGTATACGGCGAGCTTGGTGTAGCCAACGAGCACATTGACCAGCCCCTGAAGATGTTGGGATCCGTCCCCTTCGGGTATCCAAAGATGAGGACCGTCGGGGAGAAGTGGAGGCTGAACTTTAGGAGGATGTTTCTCAGGACCTTGAACAGCGAGTCCAGGCTCTTGCACTCCACGTATTTGTGCGCCACCATCTCCACTTTACCGCAGAACTGGCACTCCGGGGACGTGTCGGTGAAGCGCACCAGGGAGGTGTTGGTGGTGACGGTGCCGTGGTCGATGCTCCAGCTGAGGTCGCCGATGCGGTTGTACGTCGGGCTGGAGTAGAGTTGCCTCCAGCAAGGCTTCTCCGGAGAGATGCAGGGCAGGGCTTTCCTCCAGGCATAGTCCTTGTGGCTCCTTAGGGTGTCCTGTTGGTGAAACCGGACCATGTAGGAGTAGAGCACCTTCCTCTTTACATTTGCGAAGACCACCTCCGGTAGGTCTTCCAGCCGGCACAGGTTGTGATCCGCCTTCGTTTGTCGGCATTGGCCATGCAGTGGCACGACGGAGAGCTCCGGTGGAGGGGGACTGAGAGGGGCCTCGTCATCCCCAACGCCGATGGGGGGGGGGGGGGGGTTCTCCCCGCTGCCGCTGAGAAGGCCCCCTTGGCTTCGGCCAGGAACCGGGCAGCCACCCGGAGTGACTGCAGCCCTGTCTTTGCGGCCATGTCTGCTGGTCCGAGCCACCAGCCCCGTGTTCCAGGCTCCAACAGATCTCCCATCCTGGTGAGCCGCACGTTGGCAAGGCGCCTCTCCATGCTGGGGATGGCGGTGGTGGATGGCAGCTTTGTCTGTGGGTTCCTGAGGATCGGTTCGAAGACCAGATCCTTGGCCGATCGCGGCTGGTTCAGCCTCCTGATGGCGAGTGAGCTCCATGTCTGCAGGACGCTTCTGTAGAAAGGTGGCAGCTGCCCCAGTGGGAGGCCCTGCAGGTCCATGTAGCATAGTTGTTTGGAGCACTGCAGACCCCCCAGCTGTTTCAGGAGGAAGGAGACCGTGACACTCCAGGCCGGTGCAGGGGCGGCGTGCAGGAACTTTTGCGCGGCCTGCAGTCGGAAGGTGGCCAGCTGACTCCGCACGCACACCAGCCCATGACCGCCCTCGTCCAGTGGCAGGGCCAGGACCCCAGCCGCGACCCGGTGTCCTCCGCCCGACCAGAAGAAGTCGAGGACTCGCTTCTGAAGCGCGTTGACGAGGCTCATTGGGGGGTGCCGGGAGAAGAGTCGGTGCCACAGCATGGATGTCACCAGCTGGTTCACCACCAACGTCTTTGTCCTGAAGGTGAGGAACTTGCACAGGC